GAATATCATGATGATGATGACGATGATGACGATGATGACGATGATAATAATGACGCCTATGACGAAGATGATAAACAATCGTAGAATGGAAATAAAACCAGCCGCGGTCGGGGGTGTGGTCGCAAAGCGCCCTTGAGCGGCCGCTCACACACGCGGTGATTAACTGTGGGTGTATTGAACACGCTCACTCATGACATACCCGTGGGACGCAATGCACACCTCGCGTCTGTCCCGTAAGTGTACGGGGCGTGGTGTAAGCCGCCGGCAGTAAGAGCATCTACGCGTGTTTTTAAGTGTTTGAGTACTCTACGTGGGACCGCAGTCTGCAATGCAGCGAAGTCAAAATAGCGCCGTGCTACGTTTACACATCCATCCGTCCGTCGTTACATAATCTCAACGTGAGAGAATATTGGGGCGGTTGCACATTACTGGCCATGATTACTAGCTATCACTGTTTGATTACTATGATTCTCGTCAGGTTATATGGCTGTTGTAAAGCCATGATTCTAGCCACGGAAAATAATAAGTGAAGTCGAAATTTCTTCTGAGGAAAACCTCATAATATAGCTTGCTGCGAGGGAGAGGGGATGGGACTCTGAGGAAAGGCGGAAGAGAAGATAGCTGGGGCGGTAGAAGAAGGAGGCTGAGCGAGGAACAGTCGAGGCAAAGGGTAGGACGCGAGGACATAAAATAGGTGTTTTGTAACCTACATGCAAGGGCGCTCTCCTAATTATAAACACAGATTTACTGATAAACGTTTATTAGGCAAATCTATGCTGAGATACCCCCTAACCATTTTAAATGCATATTCATCACAAAATATAACTCTTCTGGTGAGATATTGCGCATGCGCTACCACACTAACGTAGCCAGATTGTGTACTGACTGGTATACGCAGCGGGGACCATACATGCAAGGTCTTTCTCTTATATATTAAATAATGTCTACTGATGGAATGTTATCATATAAATCTATGCTAGGATAACTCCTCTTCAGTTTAAATGCATAATCTTTGCTAAATACGATTGCTATCGGGAGATATTGCGCATGCGCGCGCACCGTGTTAGGCGTGCAGTGCCGTCTGAGGAAAACCTCATAATATAGCTTGCTGAGGGAGAGAGGGGATGGGAGACTGAGGAAATACGGCAGGGAAGATAGCTGGGAGCGGTAGAAGAAGGAGGCTGAGCGAGGGACAGTCGAGGCAAGGGGTAGAACGCGAGGACATAAAATAGGTGTTTTGTACCCTACATGCTAGGGCGCTCTCCTAATTATGAACACAGGTTTCCTGATCAAAGTTTATTAGAGAAAATCTATGCTGTGATACCACCTAATCACATTAAATGCATATTCATCACAAAATATAACTCCTCTGGTGAGATATTGCGCATGCGCTAACACACTAACGTAGCCAGATTGTGTACTGGCTGGTATACGCATCCGGGACCTTACATGAAGGTATTCCTCCTATTTCTTAAATGATATCTACAGATGGAATGTTATAATATAAGTCTATGCTAGGACAACTCCTCTTCATTTTAAATGCATAATCTTTGCTAAATACGATTGCTCTCGGGAGATATTGCGCATGCGCGCGCACCGTGTTAGGCGTGCAGTGCCGTCTGAGGAAAATTTCATATTATAGCTTGCTGCGGGAAAGGATTATATTTCTAATAAATAAGAAAGAGAAGGAGAAATAATTATTAGTGTGTTGGGGATACTAGCCATACCCGTCCATCCCCGTTAGGTGGTCAAAACTAAAAATAAATAAAATAAATAAAAAAAATAAAAATATTGACACATATAAGATCCGATAGGTGGCGTCGTATTTTCGTGTTGTTGTGACGTTGCCATGCAAAAATTATTTCCCACTATTTTAATGTTTTTGAATGTGGAATGTGAAAAAAATTAAAACTGAAAAAAAATAGCCTATGCAACGTGTCATGATCTGTAGAATGTTCCGACCAAGTTTCGAGAGGATCCTTCGAGCGGTGCAGAAACCTATACTAGCCGGACACACACACACACACACACACACACACACACACACACACACACACACACCCAATTTATAGTCAGATAGAAATCAGTTAACCCTAACCCTAACCCTCACCCTAATTCTAAAATAAAACAAAATTAGCCAAAAAGAATAAAAATAAATAAGAAACAAAATTAGCCAATCAGAGCCGTCCCCTAGCGGATCACTATCTCTCCCCTGTGCAAAATTTGTTGGTGACTGCTATACAGCCAGGACAGTCTTTCAGGTGATTTTTTAACAAACTAAGCTATATATAATGCCTTTATAACTGTGGTAAATCGACGTTAGGTCTCTTAGGCATGTTTCATTAGCATATAAGCACAAGTATAGCGTAATTAACATAAATGTTAAAGGATAATTAAATCAGTTAACTTAAAACGTACCCTGTAGTTATTTCTGGCTGTATAAAACTGTTTCATTTTCTTAAATAGTATTTAAAGGTTATACTATTATAGAACACCACGTTCGTACTGATTTAGTGATTAGTATAGACTAGTCTATAGTATAGACTATAGTTGTAAGTTCAAAGTTGCAGTCTGTAGGCTAGTCTGTAGACCACCATATAATCATAATTATAATACACCCGTTGACAGTTTAACACTGCGCATGCGCTTAGCCTAAGGTCAAAGGTCGGGAGGAGTTTCCGTCCCAGAAAGCGCGAGTAAAATGCGCGAACAATGGCAATAACGTGTAGTGTGAAGGGCTGCTCAAACGGATCGTATTGGCTTAAGAAAGATTTTTAGAGCCTGCATTGACCATAATTTAAATGTATCAAGTGTCATGTCACTCAGGTCATCCATTATCGGTGCTCTATTCCCTGCTACGTGTACTGTTCTTTGACACAAAGGTGAGCGACCTGCGTATGCAAGGTAGACAACGCATCGAGATAAACAACATGGCGGAGTTTACTTGCACATCCGGGCTTTCGCGGAGATGCGAAACTACTGGCGCAGAACATAGGCGCAGAACTGTCAATGGGTGTATACACCCAGTGGGCAGTAATATCATATTCAATCGAAATTACTGCCTGCGACAGTACCTATCTTTAGTTTTTGATTCCATCGAAAGTTTAGCGTCAATTTTAGTCATTTTTATTTATTTATTTATTTAGGCAATTATCCATCATATAATGACTATAATCATGATATACAATACAGACAATACATAGCATACTTTTACAATAAATTCTGAATTCATAAAATTGGATAACTACCAAGGATATATACACAAAAGGCATGACTAGCACACTTATTTACATTGTATTCCTTGTTTTGCTATGCCTTGTTGTTACTAACAATTGTACTACTATCAGCACTATAACTATAGAAATATACAAATTTGTAGTTTTAACCAGTCATACAATGGTACATTCTCATAAGACTATATATTGTTCTCAGACAGCGATGAAACTGCACAGTGGCTCCATCATACGCTCAAAAATCAAAACTAACAAAATAAGTTAACCGAAAATGAGGCATGTCTTTAAAGAATTTACTGTCAAACTTTTGGAAATGTATAAAAACTCATTAATTATGGCTCTTAGAATGATGGTTAGCTTGATTACATTCAAGAACAAATCACGAGACAGATTTTGCACAAAAGTATGCAAGGCTGGAGATAGAACCAAATATCTCGTTGTCATGTTAATGGGATGTTACACATTGGCGTTCTATAAAAGTCTTGTCTAGTGCAGTATTCCCATCAGAGTCAATAGTGTGGTCGCCTATTTTTAGCACGGAATTCTGTCTTGTGCATAATGTTCGTAGTTGCATAGTTTTATATATATCGCCACATATCACGGGAATATTTGTGCTCCTGTACGTGTTATCTCGACGCTACGAGTCTATTCTTTCTGTATCTTTGCTATCATCCTGTAACCTTCATTGTTGCAAGTGTGTCAGAGATCTGATACAACACGATATATACCTGTGTGTAATAGTAGGCCCTTACAAACTGAAACGCCTTAAACATCCAGTTGATGTATTTCTTGGAGCCTCATGCTACACTCATTTCTAAACAGCAGATCAGTGAATGTGCCTATGAGATATATGTTGTCTCTTCATTCTCTAGTGGAAATAGATGCAGCTGTATTCAAATCTAACGTTGTCATGTTTTAGAAACTGAAACTCATAAAAAATACATATAATCCCGCAGGTTTTTTTTAATTGCATAATAGTGTTGGTGTACCTATATATATTATAGCATAGAAACAATCGATTACTCTACAGCTAGTCTGTGTTTCGGCCAGAGATAGCAACCAAAGTACACAAACCACAAACACACACCCACCCACACACACACATGCACGCACGCGCGCGCGCACACGTGTTATATATATATATATATATATATATATATATATATATATATATATACATATATATATATATATGCAATGTCATTTATTATTCATGATTAGTGTGTGTCGTCCCATGGTGGTTCTCTTCTTAATTTTACATGACATGGAATGAGTCTGCAGCTTATTTCGGCCAAACAAAATCATAGCCGTGTTTTTAGTTACAATGATTTCAAACTTAGACACGGTAAAAGTCTATAAAAACATTTGGTTGCTAAGTTAGGATATTTTCATGAGTACATTGTGTTATATTAATGTGATCTTACATTTTTATTTCTACTGGCGGAATGTTTTCTCACAGTGGCATAATATAAATAAAAAGCGTATTCTTTTACCAATTCTTCTGCGATTCGCAAGCTCGCTGCCTAGTAGTACGAACAGTGCCAGTGCGGCTAGAACCAGTCTAACATTCCACACAAGACGAAAACAACATCGTATGGACTCAATGAAATCCATATTGTTAAAATACATGGAATATGGGTTAGCCTGATATCTTTCTAATTTCTTAGAGACATTATAGAAGTAAGGTTATGTGTTTATTCCTCCTCCATAAATACGTTGTGCATTTTAGAATTTCGATTGTGAAATATTACCTGTTTTTGTTGCAGGATGTTGTCTATGAGGCATGTGATCGGGTTGAGTGTTGGCCTCTTTGGCATGTGTGAACTGGTTTACTTGTTCGTCCAAGTCAACTATCAAGTCTACTACAAACCACAGCATCATTCTGTGGAAAACGAGAATGAACAAGATCTGCATGAGGTTTTGTCGTTGCTACCGAAAGACCGGCTCAATATTTGGATGATGCCAATTAGAAGTAGAGTTAAGGCACAAGTGAAGAAAAGTGAGATTCTACCACCATCTGTGATAGATATTCTTGTACCTAATGCGTCTTACATATGGAAAGAGGGCCAGGACAACTATGTGTACAGGTATTACGATCCATTAAAACCAAAATTATTTAACCTTTCCGAAACAAACAATGGTTTATTCACTAACTTCTCAAACGTGTTGTGCTTTGGGCACGGAACAAATGCAACGCTCTCATCAAAAGGAAAATCCTGTGTGTGTGTATCTGGTTGGTCTGGTGCTGAATGTGCTATACCACACGTGCTGAATAAATCAAGGATGCCCATTGGCATTGATAAAATGAAAATACGCAAGTCGCCTCGACGCATTCTCCATGCAATCAACGTCAATCACGAGGTGGACATGTCTGAAGTCCGTTTTCACGAACTTTCCGATGTCGTCGATGTGTTTATAATTTGCGAATCTAACTACACAGCATTTGGAATGCCGAAGAACCTAACATTTCTTTCACTGCTGCAAAAGGGCTTTCTTAAGGAGTTTCAGCACAAAATTGCATACATATTCCTTGACCATTTCCCCTCGGGAGGAAAGGAAGATGGTTGGGTTGCTGATCGATACTTGAGAACGTTCATGGGCAAAAAGGCCTTAACTCAAATAATTGGATACCGCCCTGATGACCTCATTGTCCTGGCAGACGCGGACGAGATACCCAGTAGTGATGTTCTTTGGTTTCTCAAGATGTATGATGGCTATTCTGAACCGATAGCATTCACACTCCGTTGGTCCTATTATGGATTTTTCTGGAAGGGACCAAATGACAAGCACACACAGGTGACAAGTGCAGCTACAATAGCATATGTTAAGTATGTGTGCGACAGTGATCTAATCAAACTTCGGCGGCCACCTAAACAACTGAACAGTGATGTTTACCGCAGTGCCTTTAATCGTAGTGTCTTAACCTGGACCATTGGACCTCCGCAAGGACCATTTGCGGGATGGCACTGTTCCTGGTGCTTTCCACCACAGGGCATCCAAACTAAGCTTATATCAGCGCAAAACGGTGACTTTCCGCGTTGGGGTAACTTTAAGGCAAAACAGAGCCTGGACTACATAAAGGGCCTAATTAGAGATGGGAAGTATTTCGATGGTTCGCATCCATTTAAAGCGATAGTAACCCTAAAAAGTGATGCTTTTTATGCACCTTCCTATGTACTGAGCAATCCGAAGAGATTTTCTTACTTACTTCATAACCCCTATAGGAGCACATAGATGTGATTTAATAATCTGATAACATAAATTTATCACTCACTTGTTAAAAATTCCATATAGTGTATGTACCATTTATCATACTTTGACTGATTCCATACTGCCATCTAACCTCAGTTCTGTATAGAAAAGGGTGTCATAGACGTACGTAGCGAAATAATACTGGGAGAAGAATTGTATACTACTCCATGCAGAATACCAGTGAAATAGTAAGTAATTAGGTAAAGTGCTGTGTGCTGTGCATTGACTCTTTTGTGAGATTGCACTTTCAAAGTGCAGGTTGGTAAATTTGTTAGTTTCTTATTGTTGATGTGGTCAAATTTCGTTTGATCAGAAATAACTTGGCATATAATGTCACAGACAAGGGATTAATGGTGGGGGGGGGGGTAGCAGTGTAATCCAATGTTTGCTAATTGTTGGCATTATATCTAGGGCCCCTATGCATGCAAAAATAGAGTGTGGACCATTTGATTTCAACATAACACTTTCCTTTGTCTTGCAAAAAATGTAATTTCAAAACACAATCAATAATTTTTGATTATTGAAGTGGCACAAAGTCCACGCACGTCATGTATTGAGGTTATAATTACCATGTATGATACATTCTAGATTGAAATCAGGGCCATAGGCCGTAGGTAGGGGTGAGAAACAGGGGGGGGGGTCTGGGGGTCCTCCTCTAGCAATTTTGAAAATGTAGATCGCAGGAGAGTATTTGAGCGTATTTGTATGTTTTGAGTATGTATTGAGTATTGTATGTTTGTATGTATTTGAGTGTATTGAGGCACTTTTGAGTACATGTACAGCCTTTATTCTGACTACGACAATTCTCTTTTAGTAGAACATTTAATTTTTTTAATTTTGCTTTTTTGCCCCCCCCCCCGGCTACGGCTCTGGAAACACGCTTTGTAGTACTTTATCACCGAAGAAACGTGGCAGCAATTTATAACTGAGGTCTAAAAAGGTTCTTGGTAGCAACATTGAACACCCATTCAAACGAACTTATTGCATTCACAGCGCATGCGTGATACTCGCGGCAGCGCGCATACAATACGTATGTAATGCTAGTGCAGTGGTTCCTAAACCTTTTTGAGTCATGGACCCCTTTGAGAATGTGATGAAAGCTGCTGCTACGGACCCCTCCCCAAAAAATGCACTTAAACTCATAAACACAATAATTTGTATGCGTCTGGTTCACGGACCGCCTGAAGCCCATCCACGGACCCCAAAGAGACCATAATACCACAAGCTAAGAACCCCTGTGCTAGTGTATCATGCAAAAACGCACAGCGTGTGTTAATGAAATCGATTTAATTTGCTTAGCGTTTCCTGGAACCAAACTTGTAAGTAAACAAGCAGCCCTGGTGTTCAGGATTAATGATTTAGGTGTGTACTAGCGCTATATTTCTGTCTTTTTATTTGCATATTAGTCTGCGCTAGCACTTTCCTATGCATGCGCTGGGTTTTGAATAAAACAGTGTTGTTTTAATACAGTCATTTAATTTAAAGAATCAACGTACAGATATTTGTTGTGTATCTGACACCATCTATTTAAAAACATTTTGGCTTTCTTGCGTAAATTGGTGGTGTTAGGGCTTTGTGTTGCAACCATAAATGATCTAGTTTTCTTCCAACGGCCATTTAGGCAAGTTATAGTTGTATATGGTAAAGATTGACGGCAAGATTATTTATGTTATTAACTTTTTGCATTAAGAATTTAGGTACGGTAACTACCTTTATCTATTGTTGGTTGTGTGATATTTTGCAGACACTGGTGATTCTAGAGAACTATTGGTGTGGATGCATAAGCAAGAATTTTTTCTATATATAATATATATTCATATGCTCTTAGCATTAGGCATATATTTTTATTATACTACAAATTATATATAT